CCGCTTAATAAATAAAATTAAATATGCGGTCCAGATCTATCAGGAAGCAGTTCAGCGGTAACAGTAAATAGTCTCAGACCCCCGCAAACAATTCTATTTTTTACTTTTGACTAGTCTGAAAGAGATGCTTGCTGCAAGAATAAACAACTACTCTATCTGCAACAGTCTGTTAGCTGTTAGCAGTCCGTCACGGCTAACTAATCAAAAATAAAAATAAAACCGTTTGTTGAAATGCATGCTGAATGGAAATATTACAATATTGAACATTCGAGCAATTACTGGAATCTTCCCTCCCCCTGTATCCCTCTTCAGTAGTCACTTTGTGTCGACGTCCTGCGGCTTTGGTTCAAATGGCGTGTCTAAAGGTGTGCAATCCGGCCCACCCCTGTACCCCAAGTCTATGCCGAACCTGCCAGCCCCTGCACGTTGTTTACCCTCGCATGCAACGAGCCTCTCAAAGGGCTGGCATGCCCGACATGACCTCTATAGCGCAGCAGCAGAACCAAGGACTTGCGGCAAAGCATGCGTGTACTAGTCCCAGCGGGTTGGCATGGTGACCGTGACCCGAGTGCTTCGTCCAGGGCCCTTCAGAGGCTTTGCCCGTCTCCCACCAGCTTGCTGCCCAGGAAGAATGTCGACTCTCAAGGTTGAGCGCTCACGACACATCACATCAAGAGGACTCTCAAGACAAGACTCACTTCCTCACGGTAAGAAGCAACGAAGAGGGTAGATAAGGTAAGGAGCAACGTACCTCATAATGCTGCCCCAAACCACAGATTTCTCACCAGTAACCTGACGTGCATTTATGATGACCGGTCGATGCCTCGGCACAACCCACAATGCAATGCAGTTCCACCTCGGCTTAAATTGCCACGTCAGCAAGCTCTCATCATCCAGCGTGCACCCCTATGTCACCTCATAGCCTTCCTGGCGCGCCCTCCCAACTCAAGGCCGCCTTTACTCCAACGCACAAGCATTATCACTGCCCCGCCATTTCCCAACGAAGCACCAAACAACTATTGCGAAGGAACCAGCGGAGTGGTTCCAACCAGCTCCGATAGCAAATTGCAAGGAAAATGAGAGATAGCAAGATGACAGAATCCAGATAGCACAATCACATTGAAAGCAAGAAAGTCCCACAGTGTCCAGAAAGCAGCATTGCACCAATATTACACCAATGAAGAATCGAAACACTGAAACCGAATGTCAATGAGAGCTTACTCTCGTCCCCACCAACATACGTATCCAGGCCCTCTCTCTCCCTACGTGGCGCTCAGCGCCCAGGCTACTCCCTACACAGCTACTTTCTGCCTACGAATTGACAATGCAACTGTTGACGCCAGCAGCCACCGAAGTACTTGAAGATGCAGACCATCGCCAATACCAGGTATGAGCCCTCACATCATCATCCTCATCTCTTTCACTCTCTCCCTATCCTTGTCTTCCTCCCACGTCTTCTCCCTTATGCACGAAGACCACCACCACCTCCACTGGCTGTCCAAGCCAAGCCCTGGCTATGTAGGGCTGGCTATGGCGCTGCCCTCAGCAGCGCCCTGCCTTCTTCCAGCGCCCGCGCGCACTGCCTGGCAACTAGCGCTAGTGCCCAGCGCACAGCCCGCGAGCGCACGCTCGAGCAGCACTGCCCCATGCACTGCCTAGTGCCGGAATGCCTCCACCAGTGGCGAGCTCTTTCCTTCATGGAAAGTGCTCGCCCAGTCTGCTCCCTGGCTGGGCCTCGTGTATTTCCAGTAGCTTCCAATCGAGCCAAACTGTCTGTGCCCAGGCTCATTCAGACAGTGGCCTGGGACCGAATTGGTTGAGCCTGCCCAACCACCCAGGAGTAAACGCGAGGTTCTCCCTGCTTCGTCTGTGCTGCTGGAAGAGCCTAGAAGGCTCAAGAATTTATTTCCGATTCTCACGAATGTGGAGGATGTAACCAACTGGCGCATGGCAACTGTCTGGTGCCCATCAAACTTTGCCAAAATTGATGAACTCAGGCCATATTGAAATTCAGGGGCCCACCTTCACCTAGGGCGGGCTCATGCTTGCTGAAAGAGCCCTACAGGGGCATGCCAAGGAGCCAACTTGTAACAAGGCCTTGTGGAAGATCCATGCCCACATGGGGTTTACAACAGGCTCTGCTTGGGCCCCTCAACCTGGTCTCATAGGCCTATAAACAAGCATTGGCACATATTTGCAGGCTCGCCTTCACTTAGGGCGGGCACAACATCTTTCAGACACTGCCGAGGATCTAAATCCTCGCATGTAACTCTATATGGGACGCTGGGCCCATTTCCCAGCACGTGCTGCTCCGCACAAATAGACTGGAGCATTTGTCCCAAATAAAATAAAATAAAATAAAATAGTGAGGGCGTGTGAGGAGACCGAGCGGTGTTGCGTATTCCTTCCTTTCTTTCCTTCCAATTATTATAAAGCGGCACTTCGGCTTTCTTCCTTCCCATTTTTTTTATCACAACAAGGCGGATCCTCTTCTCGTCTTAATTTCATCTCTCAATTTTGTCGAATCAGTGGATGGTTGTCGATTGATGTCTCTCTTCTGTCTGCTTGATCTGTGGGAAATCAAATGCATGTGTGTATAAGTGATCTGAATACAGGGAACAATTGTACTGATGCTGGTCATGATTTGCTGACCTATTGCTGATCCTGCGTACGGGTAGATGCGTTACGAGCCATCCTGCGGCAATTGCTGGCCACGCATGCGCATGCACGTAGGGGGGAACCAGCCGCCTTTGTCCTTCTCCCTTTCTTTTTGATTGTTGGTGCACGTTGAAGGGTAGTCGAACAACTGAAACTGGCCTGATGGCCCAACCACCAAACAAAGGGACATGAGTATTGCTCCGCCATGGCATTCAGCCTTCCCTACCGGATCACCGACCATGACTATCTGAGGTTCCATACAAAGGAATTGTGGCATTCTGACACCACACGGGCCCCAGTTAGGGCCCGGTTCCGTAGTTAGTCTAGTTTAGGCCTAGAGTCAGGGGTCACGTCGGTTCAGACCCATAGGTCAGCCCAGAGGCCGAGTAGGCCAACGGTCACAAGGGCCAGACCGGTACCGGTCCAACGCTAGGACCTACCGGTAGCGCAGTTTTGAAGGAAGCCAGGCTTAGGCGCCACTTTCATTTTTTGGTAACGGATCTGAACCGTTGGACCGATCAACGGTCCAGACCCGAAGGTACCAACAGCCTTGAGGCCGGCCCAGCGCTATATCAGATGGGTACCAGCCTCAGTAGGCTAGGTTAGTACAGCGTTTCGGTTGCCATAGCGGTGCAGCAGGGAGAATTAGCACAGCAGAGAGAAGGATCAGCGCAGCAGCAGCAAGTAGCGCCGGCCCGCTGGCTCAGCCCGCAGTCCAGCGCCCAGCACTGC